ACCGCCTTTTTCATTTTAGGCCAAAATGCCCTTTTTGCCTCGGGTTCCATTAAGGTAATGACGCAAAGTGGTTCTAGGAATATTGTACCGTTTTGACGAGGCATATACCGTGGCATTCACATTAACAACAACATCTTTGGCTTGATTAAGCTGTTCTCTATTATATTTGTCACCATCTGCACCCTTTTCCGTCTTTCGGCGGTAATTTTGAACCATTTTCTACAACCAGAAACCAATATCAGCAAAGGAGTTCAGAACATGTGAGTAACTGGACACTATGGCCCAGTTGCCCGAAGACGTGTGGCCCAGTTACCCCATATGGAACATTTTCTGGGGCAACTGGACCATAGGATCTAAATTGATATTTAAAAATTCTAACCCCCAAACGACAAAATTTACCTGATTTATAAACCTTTCAAAATACCAGTATGGGTCGATAACAAAATCAAAAATACACTCACCTTGAAATATCAAAGTCAGCTCTGAAGCGTATTGTTTTGTCACAATTTGCCACCCGGAACAAAATCGTTTCCGCGGCAAACCTAAGTCGCAATGGTGGATTTCTAACATTTGCATATGCAACTTCAGGTGCATAGCAACCAACTTTACCATCATAAATATCACTAAAGCTTTTCACAAAATTACTAAAGCATGGTGGCCCAATTGCCCCGGTGGCGGTTACTTTGTTAAGGTAGTGACCGTACAATAATAATAAAAACTTACCATTATTCGTTCCAACCATAACGTATGACAGTATTTAATACAATTATAGTCAAAAGAATAAATTAATAATTAACATTGTAAGAGAAGCAATACCTTTACACGCAATTTATCAACAAGAAGAAAGTAATTATAATTCCTAAACTTTGACTGGTTATCTGATAAAAATTCAACAGATTTGAAGGTGATTTAAAGATGTTTCATTATCTACAGATATTAAAGAATTCAAAATTGCCTAAATTTGGTCGAAATAAAACACTTACTTAAAAAAATATATTAGGTAACTTAGCTTGTTTTAACAATAAACAATTTAATAATTTTTATGCTGATATACCTACCTTTAAAATATTTTCATATTTATTTTAACGTTTTATCTATAATTTAAGTATTTAACATAAATAACTTGCAATTGATTAGCCTAAATATTGACCAAATATTTTTATTTCATTTCAAAATTTATTAATATCAATCTGTGTACAATTTAAATTGATATTATTGATTTCAGGTTTGGGTGTGTTAATGGAAGAAGCAGACTGGAAGTTATCAAACTCCTTTGCAAAAGTATATAGAAATAGTAATTGCAATCGAACATTCTTCATTAAATAGAGAAAAAGATGCAGGTTGAACCTGCCAGGTTCAATCATTAATCATGAATAACAAAAAAGACACAATCTCAAATATTTGTTATTGGCCAGAAAGTTAAATCATACAAAGTTTTTTTTTTATAATAGATACATAAAGATTTTAATTTTGCTGAATGCATAAAAACAATTTTTTTCTAAGGATTTTTTATTTAAATTAAACCAATATTAATTTAACAAGTAGATACCTAATTGCTTTTTACAAAAAAAACAAAGTTTAAGTAATAAAAAACTTTATAGTATTGTGCTTCTTATTAAAAAAAGTACTTCTGCTAACAATTCGTAAAAATTATAAATTTGACATGTTTTTAAGAGTATGGTTTGCAATAAGTTAACTATTGCATTATTTTACAAAAATCATTATACATTCTATACCTACTTTAAACATGTTAGAGTTTCATTTTTTTATTTTATTAAGAAATCTTAATATACCTAAAAATAAGTATTATTATATATTATAAAATATTATTTTTAATAAATTACCTGCATACTCAAAGTTATAATTATAAATGAATTGTTTTTAGGAACCAATAAGTATTGTACACTTGTTAATTATTTAAAGAATTTATCAATGGTATGAAGAAATGTTAAAATACCTACAAAAATGGTTATTACGAGGAGTACTAAAACCACAGATTTTTGAAAATTAAAAATCGCATAAGAATTAACGGCTAAGGAAAACAATCATGCGCAACGCGTCGCTAAGAGAATTTTTTTATTGATAAGGATTTTTTCTTATTGATAACAAGTGATAAGGAAAAATCAGAACACAGCGTCCATATAACGTTGAGCGTTGGGCACGCTGATTTTTTAAATTGGTTTACCCCTCGGGTTATTATGTATAACAAAAAATTCAATTTGTATAAATTATCATTTGAATACTTTTTAATAAATTATACTTAAAAAATGTAAACCACAATATTTATGAGAATTTGTACTTAAATGTCAAAATCTTTGATAAACCAAAAGTTTTATAAAATAATTGATAAAAATTACTTTAAATTTCTCTTTGTTCCAATAATATATATTTAAAATTCAATTTAAGTGTATATTTTATTAAATATATGCAGTGTGACCAGAGATATATATATCTCTGAGTGTGACCCATTTGTTTGCAACTCACCCTTGTAAAGTCTATATTGATTGTGCGATTTTAACCGGATTTGTTTTAAGTTGTAGATCTGATAAACTCTATTTTTTGAGAAAAATACCGCCATATTTTTATAAAATATAAGGCCTTCTATGTCAGTTTTTGGTAGTAAATTTTTAGGAATTTATATTAGCGATTTCTATCTCTGCACGGCACTAAATTCACCACCACTCAAAACGACCCTTTACTAAATTTAATTAAAAAATTTTAAGTAGGAACGATTTTGTAGCTGAATTTATTTTGTTAAGTTATCCATGAAAAATATATTGAAATAAAATTAAACCATTAGTAACATGGTATAAATAAAAAACAAAAAATAAAGAATCCCAAAAATTCTTTACAATACATTTTTGTTACCTCTACTAATCCACCTTTTATTTTTTACCCTAGCCCGTAGTTCTTGTGCAGTATGGGCGACGAAAATCTAATTGTAAAGAATTTTTTAAATTCTCTATTTTTTGTTTTCTTGTTTTTTTAAGTTTCTATTACGTTTTGTATTTGTCAAAACTAAGCATAAGAATATTTATACCTACCATAATACTATTAGTTTAATTTTATTAGAATATTTTTTTTTATGGATAACTGAACAGAATAAATTTTTGTAAATAGTTAATAATGTTCATTTTTAATTTTGCTACAAAATCGTTCCTACTTAAAATTTTTCAATAAAATTTAGTACCTATAGGGTCGTTTTAAGGGGTGGTAAATCCAGTTATGTGCATAGATTTTTTTTAATCGCTAATATGAATTCTTCAAAATGTACTCTCAAAAACTGACATAGTAGGCCTTGTATTTTGTATAAACATGGTGTTTCTTGCTCCAAAAATACAGTTTATTAAGATCTTCACTTTAAAACAAACTCGGTTAAAATTTACAGAGGTAAATAACAAAAAAATGGGTCAAACTGTATGGTAAAAACACAAAAGTGTGTGTTTTTCCACTTGATCAGTGTAAAATAACCGAAAATTGTCAAAATTTTATATTTTTTGATTTTTAATGAACAATATTACGTATATAGTTTGTTAAAAACCAAAAAAAAAAAACAAAATTTTAACAATTTTCATATATTTTCATATTTTAAATAAAAATTTGTAATTCGCGCCGCAGACAACCAATCACAACAAAGAAAATCGCGTGGTTAATTCTAACAAGTGCTTACAAGCACCTCAGTTTTCCAAACCTACTAGATTAAAAATCAACCAATGCTTGTTGCCAATTTTGATTTAAGCGCTTTTAATTCTCAACTCGTACAAATACCATACACATATTCATACTTTAACAACATTGTTGAATATGGTTCAAATTAAATTAAAGCTTTGTATGACAAAACTTTATGCATATATACTTCAAGTTAGATTATAAGAAAACATAAGCAATGTTTGGATTAAGGTTCAATGTGATTTATTTAAATTTTAAAAGTTATAAGGTCCACTTGTCCACTACATTTTTCGGGTAGATAAAATTCAATCGAAGCTTTAAATTTGTATTGACAAAATTTTATGTTAATTTTAAGCTGGATTAAAAAAATTACCTACCAAATTAAAAAAAAAGTAAAAATAAATATTAGATACTCCTATGGGATCATTTAAATGACACTTAAATGACCCCTATACTGAGTAATTAATTTAAATTTGAAAAGTCATAATGATGTTCGATGTATGTAGATCAAATTGAGTGAAAACTGTAAGAAACTTTAAAAAAGTTAGATATTAAATTTACAAAAAAAAATATATACCTATATATAATAGGTGTAAAAACAATTTATATTTTTTTTAAGTACCTAGGTAAGTAATGGTTGCAGTGGCGGCTGGTGGATTTTGGGTATACCGGTATCTCAATTATTAGATATGGGACCCACACCAAATTTATATGAGTTTATAATGACATTAAATAAACAAGTTCTGCTCAAGCAGAATTTAAATTGAAGAAAAAAAGATAACTTTTTGCTAGGCCGTACCGGCCCCATGGCGCCCCCAATAAATATAATATAAATTTAATTGGTGCAATTTATTATTTATCATAGTTTATCGACAAATTTTAAAATTCATTTAAAATATCCAAATTTTACCGATTTTATAGCATTTTAAATTTTTAATATTTCTTTTCAAAGAAAAAAAAAGTTAAAATGATATAAAATCTGTAGGTTTTATAGGGGTATACTGTGTCTTTTAACTTTTTGAATAATTATTTTAATAGATAATTTTTTAGTAGTAATAAAACTAAATCTAAGCACGGTATTACAGATTATTGTTTTGCATTGTTAGAAATATTAAATGTTATAAATATTAAAAAGTAATACCTAGGTATCTTATTTTAACTACTTAATAAATAAATCTTTGTGTTGTGATGATTTGGAAGCAAACACATTAACGACTGGTGATTTATTTGTGCGATAACGGCGTTTATCAATTCTATGGCAAATAAACTGACCATTACAATTCACGTACGGCATTAAACACTTTAGAGTAGGACTTCAGTTAAGTGACTTACTGACTTGGATAACAAAGAACATTGCATTCATCAGTTTAACTTCTTGCATTCGAGTACGGTGGCCGACACAAGTAGACTTGCAAGCGGAACTGAGCAATCCACAACATTTAACGATCAGGTTGGTGAATTTTTTATTAATTTAACGTATTTTTGAAAACAATTATTATTTTTATTTACCATATTACTATTTGATATGTATCAATAGTAAATTGAAGTAACCTAAATTTATATAAAATTTAAACGAATAAGAAATTAGGAAAATTAAAGTAATATTTAAAATATATATTATCATGTAATTGGCTGCTAATAAATAAATATAAAATTATATAAACAAAAACAATGTTTGTTTAAAATGAATACCTAACAATTTATATTTTTCGTTACAAAATGACTAACTTATTGTTTGCAATCTTATGATAATTATTTATAGGAAACTAAAACCAAAACTGATTTGTTATCTTTTTATTTACAATTGAATTTTAAAATAAACAAACCTTATTAACCTTTTGATATTATTAAATATTAATATATAAATTTTATGAAATTTATAATTAAATAACGGTTTAAAGTATTAACTTATAAGTACATTATTATAGTTTAAATTTACATAAGATTTTTACTAAAACTAATTTATTTTTGAATGCTAAAAAATATACCCAGCTACCCAGTATTAATTTCGGACGATAATAATATAATATAATATAATAATATATTTTATAAGAATATTTTACATTTTATTTAATCCATATAAAATTAATTAAATGCCAATCGCAAATTGGTTGCTGACAAACGCCTCAGGTTTACCTTGCTTTTTCCTTTTTTTAGTAATTTTTCGTTAAAAAATGCTACTTACATAAAAAACAGTTATAACTGTTTTATGTAAGTAGCACTTTTCACATAATTTGGGCCAATTTTTTTAATGTCTACAAGGGCCGTATTAATTTTTGTTCTTAAATAAGTTTTCTAAAAAATATTATTTTTTAAATATTTATATCTTTTAACTATAGTTTCGCGTAAAAATCGAACAAATTTTGGAAATTTGTTTGCAAGTAATGCCAGAATTTAATATATTTTTTAATCTTGTTTCTACACCTACATCTAAATCGTACTTTTTTTTCAAAAATCTTATCCATTGACCGCTGCGGTTTTCAGGCCTTAAGTCACTCTACTGTGTTGAAAATAGGTAAATTTCGATATATTGTAATAACATTTTTATTTAAAAACGTATCGATTTAAAATTTGAACAAATGTAGATATTATTAGGGGTAATAAATCCACGTATTATTTTTTTTAGATTTTACATAGGTACAGGGGGCGCTGGGGGCAATTTAATTTAAAATTTTATCATTTTTTAAGGGTTAAAAAGTCGAAGAAGCAACGTTGTTATATAATTTTGAGTATATTACGTTAAACTACTGATAATTAACTATTATTTGATTATTTGATATATAAACTTCTACATGCAAATTATATTTCTAGGAGAGAAACCATTTTTAAGTTAGGCCTTCAAATAGCATAATACTAACTTGTTTTACAAATTATATATTCTTTTATCTAGTTTTATAAGATAATGTAGGGTATTATATATTACATATTAAACATTATATATTACATATAATATATAATATATAACATATAATTCTTACATATTTATTTAAAAAAATCGCCATAGATGGAGCTAAACTTAGTTTATTTATAAATTTTAAATTTTTTCAAGTTTACTAATTTTAATCATAGTAGGCATCATAGACTTTTCTTTATGGTAACATACCATTGGAAGCATGAAAGATAATTAATTTGACAGTTCAGTTTATAAGTTGCAAATGACTGATTGCGTTTCAATTTATAAGTGTACCTACTATAAACTCAAACCATTAATTTATTAAAATGAATAAACTAAATAATAATTATAGACAGTGTCAGCAAGTTAGAAATTATTTCCTACTTCAATTTTATTTTTGGCTCCACAATCAGGCTTCAATTTATTTTTTACTCGATAAGCAAGCTTCAATTTTAATTCCAAACTGAGGTAACTGAAGTAATATTTACCCAATAAATAAATTAAAATAAAGACTTATTCAGTTTTTTGGAATTAGTTATTTTGCATTTTTTTATATTTAATATAATGCTATACAGGGTGTTTCTGGAGAAACGCAAACGATATGGATTTGAAATTTTAATAGCATATACAATTTGATTTAGACTATACCTACCTAAAGTCAATATCTTTCAAGATATTATTTTTTTCGTTAAAATTTTGCTAAATGCACGTTAATCACAAATAGCCTCTAATTTTTTGTTTGCTGACATTCCAACCCCATGCATGGGGTTGGAATTTTTGGAATAAAAACATTGTCACGGCGCCCCAAATAATTTAATTTTTTAAAGGTTTTTCAACAAATGCCTTGAAAAAAATCACTTGAAATTAGGCAAACTTCAAACAATAATAACGTTTTTATTATAAATGTAAAACCCAGTATGTTTTAACATAATCAAATAGAACAGAGATTCCCAAAGTGTGCGCCGAGGTGCCCTTGGGGTATTTCCGTGTTTTTTTTTCAAATAAAATTATTTGGGGCGCCGTGACATTTAGCAATTTTTAATATTTTCAATATCATTTTGTATCAAAAAGCCTTTAAGGCGGGCATTGACTTGCAACTGAACGTTGTAATGTAATTTAATGTAACACGAACATTCGATAGTCAGTGCCTATAAACGAGCGCGAAGCGAACGCGAACGGCGAGCGGCGAACGGAGCATCCGTGCTCCACTTGAGTGTCGGTTTTTTAGCAAATCCCTTTGATTGTTACATTACAAGTCAGTGCGCGCCATTTCGGAACTGACTAAATGGAGCACTGTTGAGCAGAGCATTCAAAATGAGCATTCGCGGCACCAAGAAAACGATCTGAGCTCGAGCGTTGTAATGTAATGCTCGCCTTGAGCCTTACAAAGCTCGGCTCAAGTCAGTGCCCGCCTTTAAGGCAGTATCCATGGTTACCACCAAATCTTTAATTGTTTAAAATTAATTAAAATATTTGATTGAAAAATTAATAACTCAAAAAATATTGACTTTAGGTATAGGACATGGTATAGCCATTTTACTCAGAATTTTATGTAGAATTAAAAAATGTAAAAATATATGAGGTGTCCTGTTTAAAATAACAAAGTTAAAGACATTAAAACAAGTATTATTTTGTTCAAAATAATTTAGGAAAAAAGTCTAAATCGAATAATTTACGCTCTTAAATTTTAAATCGATGTCTTTCGCGATTCCCTAGAAACTTCTAACGGACTACGTACGTGAAACACCCTGTATATTAAACGTCATTTATGTGTTATGCTATACTTAATTATTAATAAAAGATACAACAATATTTGTATAAAAATGACAAAACTAAACATTTATGAATACTGCTATTGCTAATTCACAACTGATCCTGACCACACAAACATCATTTGAATAAAAAAGTTAATATATTAAATAATAGTCAAATATCAATACTTTAACGTGTTTTACTCAAATTTATAAAACAAAGTTACCATTTAAAAATTGTTAAATTTTAAACTAAATTATCAGCAGCGCCCCCTGTACGTTAAATCTTTATGGATTAATTATCATTAGTAAGATCTACATTTTGTCCAAATTTCAAATCGATACGTTTTGAAATAAAAAAATTATTTAAAAAAATGAAATTTCTTCATTTTTAACACAGTGAAGACAAAAATAAAAATAAAAACAAAGTTGTCAATGGACAAGATTTTTATTTTGAAAATATACTTCATTTAGATGTAGAAATAAGGGAAACAAGTTTCAAACGATTTCTTGAACCCTTGAAAATCGACCGTTCGATCCTTTCGCGAAACCGTAGTTAAGAAGCACATGGGATATCAAATTAAAACTTATATTTTGTATTATTAATCATTTGTACTTACAACCCTATAGCAAAAATTAAAAAAATCACTTTAAATATATACAGGGTGTCCTATAATTTTTTTTTCCTACGGCCCCCCTGCGGAGATACTGGCCCATAACGGACGCCCCTGGAAATCGATTTTTTTTAAATAACTTTTGGAATTATAGTATATTATGTATCAAGTTTAATAAACGCCATTTTAGTTACGAGTTTAATTAAGCACGAGCGAACCTTGCGAGCGAGTGTTTAATAAAAGCGAGTGTCTAGAGAAGTTTATAAACGAGTTGCATACTATATTTTATCTACGACGAACACAAAACAGAATTTAAAGCCAATTTTATTTGTTAAAATTTTGACATCTGTCAACTGTCACCCGAATTTAATCTCACTTTTTCCCAATTTATAATAAAGCTAACTTCAGCCCGTGACGTAAAATGTCGTAAAGCTACCCGTCAATAAAACGCCATAAAGTTACAGCTCGTCAATGTAGGAGTAGATAAAATAATTTTTAAATATATTGTTTACTATGAAAGTTTCCTTAAAATGGGCACTTTTAATCACATTTGGCTTATTTAGTTTGCCAGGGACGGACTAACTCTAACAGAGAAATGCTATTTTTTAAAACCCTGTACTATGAAGGCAAAACAATAATATTTTTAGTCAGCTTAAACTTTAAACTAAAAAAAAAGGTAATCTTGATCGAAAGCGATAAAATGTACTGTTTAAGAAAAAAATAGGGTTTTTACATTAAATTACATTATTATATTAAATAAACTTTATTTTTATATTTTTTTGCAATGTTTTTTTTGACATTTACCGATTTAAATAATGATGTCAGTGTCAGTTGAAAATAGAGTGTTTTGAACTTTTCGATCCTTAGGGCCGTAGGAAAAAAATGTATAGGAACTGGTCATATTATTTTTATGTGTTATATTTAGATCCAGGAGATTGCCCACATATTCTGGGCCACCCTGCATATATATAATGACAATTCGCTTGATGATTCAAAAAAATGACATTTTTGGATTTCTTTCAGATCAAATTGACCAGATCTGCTTTCATTCATCATATTCTATTATAATTAAGAAAACATTTCTTGTGTATTTTGTTGAAACGGTGACTATTTTATTTAAAGCGATTCTGCGTCGCAGTATGCCTGCAGGCAGCATGCTAACTCATATATAACCTAAGTACATTTAAACCAA